TATACAGGACCTTCGCTCGAGGAGCCTGATTGGAGCCGGTGAGAGGCGAGATGGGCTGTTCTATTTCAGAAGACTACCTCAACTACACGCGGTTCAGGGGGGGAGGTGTGTGACGGAGTTTGAATTGTGGCATCGACGTCTGGGTCATCCTTCTGATCGTGTGCTTAAATTACTGTCTTATTTTACATCCAGTTCTGTTCAAAAGAAATTGAATAAAGCTTGTGAAGTTTGTCCTCAAGCAAAACAAGTCCGTGATTCCTTTCCTCTTAGTCATAATAAAGCTAGTCGAATTTTTGAATTAATCCATTGGGATTTATGGGGTCCATATAAAACCTCATCTACTTGTGATGCCATTTATTTTCTCACGCTGGTAGATGATTTTTCACGGGCTGTGTGGGTTTATTTGCTGCGGGATAAAAAGGAGGTGCACAAATATTTTCCTTTGTTTATTGCTATGGTTGAGAAGCAATTTGAGGTGCCCATAAAGATTGTGCGTAGCGATAATGGAACGGAATTTAACTGCATGAAGCCCCATTTTGAGAACAATGGTATTTTGTTTCAAACCTCTTGTGTGCATACACCCCAACAGAATGGGAGAGTGGAACGGAAACACCGACATATTTTAAATGTTGCTAGAGCATTAATGTTTCAAGCAAACGTTCCTATACGATTGTGGGGTGAATGTGTTCTTACTGCTGTTTATCTGATTAATCGCACCCCGTCTGGTCTATTTGGTGGGAAAACTCCACACGAAATTCTTACTGGGAAGATGCCGTTATTTACTCATTTGCGAACTTTTGGGTGTCTTTGTTTTGCGTACAATCATTCCTCAAGAGGAGATAAATTTTCTCCCCGTAGTAGGAAGTGTGTTTTCGTTGGCTATCCCCACGGCAAAAAGGGGTGGAAGTTATATGATTGGGACACCGGTGATATTTTTGTGTCCCGCGATGTTTATTTTCATGAGGATGTTTTTCCTTTCCTACCTTCACTTTCATCCATGTCAGATAGCTGTTTGACCGATACCATGTCGTCACCTAAAGTTGTGGATGATGATACAACTGCTCTTATTCTGAGTGACATGGCTTCCAGCTCTTCTACTACACCGGTGACTACTGTGCCAGAGACTACTCCCCCCTTTGCCGAATCCACCCAGGAGGACACTCCTGTCTTAGGCCGCGGCTTAAGGGCTAAACGGACCTCCGTCCTCCTCCGAGATTTTGTGACAAATAATGTAACAGTCAGCCCATCTTCGCTACACTCCTGACCTAACAGCTCCTCAGGTACGCTCTATCCCATGGCACCTTATTTAAATTGTGATAAATATTCCTCTCGTCATCGGGCCTTCCTTGGAGCCTTACTCGCAGGTCAGGAACCCCGTACCTTCCGCGAGGCTATGACGCACGCAGGATGGCGTCAGGCCATGAAAAATGAAATTGAGGCTCTCGAAAATAATCACACATGGACCATGCAGCCTCTCCCTTCTGGTAAAAAGGCACTTGGGTGTAAATGGGTTTATAAAATTAAATACAATTCTGATAGCACAGTTGAGCGTCTCAAAGCCCGCCTTGTTGTATTTGGGAATCATCAACAAGAAGGTATTGATTATACCGAGACATTTGCTCCCGTGGCCAAAATGGTAACGGTTCGGGTTTTCTTAGCCGTAGCCGCCGCCAAGCACTGGGAATTACACCAGATGGACGTCCATAATGCATTCCTTCATGGTGATCTTGATGAGGAAGTTTACATGAAACCTCCTCCTAGTTTCTATTCTTCGCAGCTTGGTCTTGTGTGTCGTCTGACAAAATCTTTATATGGGTTGCGTCAAGCACCTCGTTGCTGGTTCTCTAAATTGGCCACTTTGTTACGCACTTATGGTTTTGTTCAGTCACACTCTGACTATTCTTTATTTACTTATCATCGGGATGCCGTTCATATGCATGTTCTTATTTATGTGGATGATTTGATAATAGCGGGCAATACTTCCCAAGCCTTATCTGGATTCAAATCCTACTTACACTCTTGCTTCCACATGAAAGATCTTGGTGCTCTTAAATATTTTCTGGGTGTAGAAGTGGCACGTGGCACAGATGGCTTATTTCTTTGCCAACGCAAATATGCGTTGGATATTATTTCTGAGACTGGTCTTCTTGGAGCCAAACCAGCTCCATTTCCTATGGAACCCAATCATGGATTATCTCTCGCTACGGGTTCTCTTATGTCTGATCCTGAATCTTACCGACGACTCGTGGGACGACTTATTTATCTCTCGTTCACTCGTCCTGATCTTGCTTATGCTGTACATATTTTGTCTCAATTCATGCAGGCTCCACGACAGGAACACTGGACAGCAGCGTTGCACGTGGTACGATATCTCAAAGGGTCCCCTGGTCAAGGTATTTTGCTGTCCTCCAAGTGTGATTTTTCCTTGCATGGGTGGTGTGACTCTGACTGGGCCAGTTGTCCGCTCACACGTCGCTCTCTCACTGGCTGGATGGTGTTTCTTGGTACTTCTCCTATCTCTTGGAAGACTAAGAAACAACACACTGTTTCTCGATCATCTACTGAAGCAGAGTATCGCTCTATGGCTGCTGTGACCGCGGAGTTGAAATGGTTAAAAGGCCTCCTGCACACTCTCGGGATTGATCACCAAAGGCCTATGACTTTATTTTGTGATAGCAAATCCGCTCTTCATATTGCACATAACCCGGTGTTTCACGAGCGAACGAAGCACATTGAAGTTGATTGCCATTATATTCGTGACGCCATACAAGAAGGATTCATTACGGCTCGACATGTCTCCACTTCTGAACAGTTAGTTGACATTTTTACCAAAGCTTTGGGCAAACGCCAATTCTCCTATTTACTTGGCAAGTTGGGCATTCTTGATCCGCATGCACCAACTTGAGGGGGGGGGGGGGTATTAGATCGGGCTGTACATATTTATTTTGGGCCGAAGGGCTCTGTTTCTTTGTATTCTTTATACACAAACTTGTATAAATACTCAGTATTATGTTAATAGACACAAGGGAAATATTTTTACCCAAAAATTGAGTTTATTCTTTCCCAATAGTTTAATCGGTTTTCGATTTCAAAAACCGAACCGACTAAATTTAGAGGCCGTTTGGTAACACTGTTTTTCGGCTTATCAGACTTATCAGTCAACTTTTCCACCAAACACGTAATTTTTGCTTTCGCACGTTGAATTGTGTAATAAGAAGAAAAAGTAAGGTTGACGTTACTTTTCTGGCTGTATTGGATGAAGTTACTGCAGATAACCATTTTAGCTATTTTTACATATAATTTTTTCTGTATTTTATTTATAAAATATATTTTAAAAATAATTTTTTCTTAAATCAGCAGACTCAGCCAATGCAGCCACTCTAGCTAGAACTTCATAAATTTCAGCAGAATTAGTCAAATCAACTTATTTCCGTGTGCTACGAAATGTGCTCTTAGTTAACTTGGATTTGTTTTATTTTCGATCAATTTAGATGTATGTCGGTTAGTTTTAGGAGGTTTATACGTCAGTTCAGTCGGCCTTTTATTTATACCGCTTGTGGTTTAATTGTTTTTTTTTTGGATTTTTGTTTTTTCGATTTGATTTTTGTTAATTCGATTTTGATCAATTTGTCTATCAATTTGAGTATGAATATTTTTGTTCAAACCTAAATTTCATCCGGTTTGATTTTTAATGGACAAAATGCTTACACATTTGCATTTTCGACCTTCGTTTTTTCACGAGTGGGTTCCCCATCACACGAGAAATGTGAAAATATTGATAAGAGGCACCAAATAAACAAAGCAGATAATGAGATTGGAAACGGACATGCCATTGGTTAAAAGCCTATTCCGGATGATAAGATAAGACCCCACAGTCCTAAAATATCCACACAAAATCCACTCCATTGCATATGTGACCAAATTCCCATTGATGCCTATAATTGTTTGATTTGAAACTTTTGAATAACAAGAGCGTCGTGAGTATCTCCCACTTCTCACCTTTTTCTCCTATTTTTCTAAAAGATACTTGTACAAATTAGATTCATTAACTTATCAACTCTTTTATAAAAAAAATTATCGACTCTATCAATCAATTAGCATTAAAAGAAACCTTATCAATCAACTATTTATCAAATAAGTAATTTTTATTTCACGCGATAGATCATATAATAGTTAAATTAAATAAGATTTGAATTACCTGTTTAGATGAATTGGATGTAGTTATTGTAGAAGAACATTTTTCGGTTTTTCATATAATTTTTTCTTTATTTTAATAATAAAAAATAGTACGTATTTTAAATTTAATTTTTTCTATAATTCAACATATTCAGCCAACTCACCTCATTTTGCCACGAATTATACATTTCACCAGATTTATCCAATTCAATCAATTTTGGGGTCACAAAATGGACTCTTAATGTTTTTAATTTATTTTAATTTGTATAATTACACTTAATGGTGATAACTTTCTATTTTGTTAGTTCACTTATGCGACACTTTTAACAAGTTGAGACTATTTGGGTGTTGAACTTTAGATTATTCAGGGCTAAACTTTAAACTTTTTTTAGAGGAGTAATTAATTATGTTAACAAATTATATTTGAGGTAAATATATAATGTTTAGGATGTTTTTACATGAATTGTAATTTGCTGGTCTGCTTTGGTCTGATCTGATCTGATAATGTTTGGTTTGTTTGTAGGGAAAATCACACTTTTAGTCCCTGAAATAGTCACGAAAATGCAATGTTGGACCGGTATTCCTGGTATTGTACATGTCACCCCTTAATTGTCCAAATTGTTGTAAATGTGATCCACATTTAAGGAGTGAAATGTACTCTCGCCCACATTATATATTTCACCCTTCAAAGGTCCACATTTATATCATTTATGATAATTGAGGGACGACATTTACAAACTTGGGAATACAGGTCCGACATTTCACGCACTAAAAGTGCAATTTTCTCTTGTTTATATTTTTATAATTATTCATGTCTGATCTAATTTGATGTCTCTAAGACGGATTAGAGTCCTTATCCTAGATTCCCAGCTATTCAAACTGAACTAAATAAACGTATGATCCTAATTTGTTACTGCTACTAATTTAGAAGAGTGTACTCCGCTACTGAGAGAGTGAGTGTAACGTCCCTCCACTGCCTCTCTCGCTAGTCAAATGGAGTCTCGCGTCCTCTCAGGCGTCACCACCACCGCCCGCGGCGTTCCTCTTCTGCGGAAGTCACCGGCAGCACTGAGGTGCACCGCTTTAAGCTTCCCCGTTGCAAATTCAACCGTAGCTTGCAGCCTCGAATCCGAAAATTTGGTATGGGGACGGCCGTTCAAGCTGGCTACTCTACTCGAGGCTTCTCCGGCGAGCTCAATTACGCCGGTGATGAAAAGGGAGGTTCTCCCTCCATGCCATGCCTCAGCCAGTGATTCGGGGTAAGTTCTGTAATCCCATTGACCGACCCGAAATCATAGGCTTTTCCTGACCCGTTGTTTTCGCAGGGATGCTAAGGTCGGTCCCGTCGGGTTCGTGCAGAAATACCCGACGCTTGTGACGGGGTTCTTCTTCTTCATGTGGTATGTTCCTGAGCTCCCCAGTTAATTAATTTTACCGCCGGCGTTAAGTATCGAAAGTTACTAAATTGACCCCGTCATCTGCAGGTATTTCCTGAATGTGATCTTCAACATTATCAACAAGAAGATCTACAATTACTTCCCTTATCCTTAGTGAGTAAATCTTAATCTTCATTAGTTTTTATTATTATTGTTTTTTATTTACTTCTTTTCTTGAGCTTATGATAGATAGACAAGTATGGGTTGGCTGCAGTTTTGTGTCTGTTGTACACTTGGCTGTTGGAGTGGTGTATTGCTTGGTGAGCTGGTCTGTAGGCCTACCCAAGAGAGCTGTAAGTTGTCTGTTTCAACTCAAATATCAGTTAAAAGAAATGAATGTAACAGAACACTCAAAACTTGGATAAACAGGGAATTCAACACATACACCATTCAACTCAAGCTTGAATTTAATGCTGGATAAATCAGCAAACTTGGATAACTGTTAAACCATTCTTTTTTCTGTTTTATTCTAATGATCTTTCTATAGTGATGTTTTTTAAATAAAGTCCCAAAGAAACCTTGATGTGTATTTCATCTTAGAGTTGGACTTGGGGTACACACTTTTTGGTGGACACACTTTTACACACTGGCCGTGTAGGCTCTTTTTTTTTTTGTCTGTACAGACAAAAAAAAAGACCCTACCCAGACAGTGTGTAAAAGTGTGTCCACCAAAAAGTGTGTACCAAAAGTATTTTTGTTCATCTTATGATCTTTATCTTACACAGTTACACAGTCATAGTTTATGTACTTAACTCAGACTCAAACCCAGTAAAGAAGTGAATGCATACCTCTCAGCCTAAGAGGGGCAGGATAAGTGAATCCAGATCTCCCCTCAATTGGGTACCCCAAACCATCAATTGGGCTTACACCTTGAAAATCATCATCTACAAGTCTTTGAAACTATATCACAGTGGTTTTGATAGTTATTTCATACGGAGTAGTATATTAAAGACTTCTTATTCATGGTCAGTAAGATGTAAGGTTTAACTTTCCGATGTATAAAAAAAGTAAGATGTAAGGTTTTGCTCATATTTATAAAACATAAGTACTTCTAGTTGTGCACTTTGTATATGTTTTAATCTTATTTTGAGCAACTTATTTACTTAATCCATATATATTACACGGAAACAGAAGTTGTTAACTGATGTGGGGTCGCTTGGGAATTTATTGACTATTGTCTTAATTTACTAATGTTTATTCTTGATAATTAATATCTTGTAGCCGATTGATTCGAAAGTCCTTAAGTTGCTTGTTCCGGTAGCTGTTTGTCATGCACTAGGCCATGTGACTAGCAATGTTTCGTTTGCTGCTGTTGCTGTCTCGTTCACCCACACAATCAAAGGTGATATTTATAAGAAGGAACCATTCATCTGCTGTAGAATTTGTTTGCATTTGTTGAATAATAATCATAATCATAATCATAGTAACATCAATGTATTATTATATTAATTCTGCTGCAGCTCTAGAGCCTTTCTTTAATGCTGCTGCCTCTCAGTTCATACTTGGACAACAAATACCCTTGACATTATGGCTCTCACTCGCCCCTGTTGTTCTTGGTTAGCTCCTCATATTTGGTGTTTTTGTTAATCATAAAAATCTTGATTTTACCATCTTATTGTCATACTGGATTCAGGCGTGTCGGTGGCTTCACTGACTGAGCTCTCTTTCAACTGGACCGGATTCATCAGTGCCATGATTTCAAACATCTCTTTCACATATAGGAGTATCTACTCCAAAAAAGCTATGGTTCGCACTCTTAATGTTCCTCGTATTACTTTTCAAATGCATCTATCATACTACGTATAAAAAGTGCATCTATCATATTTAATGGGCTTTTCCTATATTCCGATCGTATTACTAAAATAGATATCATGAACGAACATGTCACATAGTTACTATAGTCATAACAAAAGTACAATCATAGTAAATGCAGTGTAAAACTGAACATTACTAAGGTCACCATAAAGGCATAAACACTCCTAAAATACCAGCATGGTCACTGTGTATTAAAGTCACTTTTTGTCCATGGTTTTTATTGTGGTCATACGTTTGGCATTGTTTCTGCATTTATTTCACATCATGTTATTTTGTTTGCAGACTGATATGGATAGCACTAATGTATATGCCTACATATCCATCATTGCCCTCATTGTCTGTATCCCTCCGGCATTAATTGTGAGTGAAAAAATATATACTAAAATACGGAGTACCATTTCAAAAAGTTGTTTTTTCAAATCAGCTGTTTTTAACCCTTTTTTGGGTTTCAACTATAACACAGTTCGAGGGACCTCAGTTAATGAAGCATGGGTTTAATGACGCGATCGCTAAAGTGGGCTTGACAAAATTTCTATCAGATCTTTTCTGGGTGGGAATGTTTTACCACTTGTACAATCAGGTATTAAACCACTTGTTTGAAAAGGCATTTTTATGGCGTTAAAGTGTTTAAACCTTACTGTTATTTATTTTCCTCTGCTTCCAGATAGCCACGAACACCCTTGAGAGAGTAGCGCCTCTCACCCATGCTGTTGGGAATGTGCTCAAACGTGTTTTTGTCATCGGATTCTCAATCATTATCTTTGGTAAATAAAATACTGTATATCTTTTTCTTACTGTGCTGTATCTTTTTAGTATTGTTAAACGAAAATGATGTACGATTTCTGTGTTTTTTTGTTTATCTGCAGGTAATAAGATTTCAACTCAGACTGGTATTGGAACTTGTATTGCAATTGCTGGAGTTGCACTCTATTCCTTCATTAAGGCCAAAATGGAAGAAGAAAAACGGGTAAAAGATCAAACTTTATGTACCATACTGCAAATTTTTAATTTTCAATCACTAAAAGGGAAATGATTTTTGCATTGAGTGTGATTTTTTAACCATGTGAGCAGCATACGGGTCAAAGTATTCAAGTTTAAGCATGGCAAGTTACTACCCCAGTTTCATTTACAAGGATGAAGGCTCCATTTGGAACTTGATAAGGAAAGAAAATAGGCCAGAATAATGGGTTAACTATGGAAGGAATAAAAATGTGGTGATGGGTAGCCACGGCAGCCATTGCTGTTACATAAATGGTTGCCGTTACATAAACACTAAGGACATGTTTACTTCACCGGTTATTAAACGGTGCTTATTAAGACCCGTGTTAATAAGCGGCGCATAAAATAAACAATGTTGTAAGACCGTGTTTACTTCAAACGGTTTAAAACACCGCTTAACATTAAAATGTCCAAAATAACCTTATACATATATATACACACAAACATTCATGAACACAAGTATATAATATAATATGTGTACCCATAACCCTAACCCCTTACCCACCCTACCTTACCCCGACCCCACCCACCGCCTACCCCTACCCCCTACCCCTACCCTACCTACCTGACCCCACCCTACCTACCCGACCCCACCCCAACCTGTCCCCACCCTACCCTACCCCCGACCCCATAGGCCCCCATAGGCCCCCACAGGCCCGTAGGGGTAGGGGTAAGGTGGGGTCGGGTAGGGGTAGGGTAGGTGGGGTAAGGGTAGGGGTGGGGTGGGGTAGGCAGGGTGGGGTCGGGGTGGGGTAGGGTAGGTGGGGTAGGGTGGGGTCAGGGTAGGGTCGGGGTAGGTGGGGTAAGGGGTAGGGTGGGGGTCGGTTAGGTAGGGTAGGGGTGGGGTGGGGTCGGGGTGGGGTAGGGTAGGTGGGGTAGGGTGGGGTCGAGGTAGGGTGGGGACGGGGTAGGTGGGGTAAGGGTAGGGTGGGGGTCGGTTAGGTAGGGTAGGGGTGGGGTAGGTAGGGTGGGGTCGGGGTGGGGTAGGGTAGGTGGGGTAGGGGTAGGGGTGGGGTAGGTAGGGTGGGGTCGGGGTGGGATAGGGTAGGTGGGGTAAGGGTAGGGTCGGGGTAGGTGGGGTAAGGGGTAGGGTGGGGGTCGGTTAGGTAGGGTAGGGGTGGGGTAGGTGGGGGTGGGGTCGGGGTGGGGTAGGGTAGGTGGGGTAGGGTGAGGTCGAGGTAGGGTGGGGTCGGGGTAGGTGGGGTAAGGGTAGGGTGGGGGTCGATTAGGTAGGGTAGGGGTGGGGTAGGTAGGGTGGGGTCGGGGTGGGGTAGGGTAGGTGGGGGTAGGGTGGGGTCGAGGTAGGGTGGGGTCAGGGTAGGTGGGGTAAGGGTAGGGTGGGGGGGGTAGGGTGGGGTCGGGGTAGGTGGGGTTGGGGTCGAGGTGGGGCAGGGATAACAATAGGTTACGGGCAAGGGGTAAATTCGGAAACTGAAAAAGCTTAAAGTGCCGCTTAATTAATACATGGGGGGTGGTATGCTTAATAAGCGGCACTTTAAGCACCTCTTTCGATTAGTAAGCGGCTTTTTAAGTAGTGTGCGTGTTTACTTCACCTGTCTTACTAACCTAACTGTGACTTTAGTAGTGAAGTAAACACCTCCTAAGAAATCTTAACGTTCGTAAGCCTATAAGAAACAAAAACCATCTTTCATCATCCTTCTGTATTTTTCGATCTAAAAAACATGAATTTTCCGTGATCTGACACTCTTAACGACGCTGCATTTATCCAAACCCCAATAATCGTAGCACTTGAATTGCTAACGGGTTACCGTTTTCTTTTATTTGAATCTTGCAGAAATTGAAAGCTGCCTGAGGTGGTGGAGAGCATGAAAAAGATTGGTGACAGTAATTTATTTCAAGTATTTCCCATCCAATGAAAAGTAAAAAAGAAGCTAAAACAATAATTGAGTATATTCATTGTAATTGTGTAGGTAGGACTTTCACTTGACTATTTTCTTTCAAGCAAAACAACTTTGTAATACTGAACCATATATATCCCATGGTCGATTTCTTGTGAGCTGTAGGTCATATTTGGTCAGGGAAGTATCAATGTTTGCTTCCTAGAGAGAGTTAGAGACCACTATGTAGCTGAGTTCTATAGGGTAAAGGCTATATTTTAGGTTTTAAGTCGTATATATGAAAAAAAAATTGGCTCCTCCAAAAAAATATTTTAGCTTCAAAAATATAAATACTAAGGGCAAAAAATGAAAGAAATAAAAAAATAGAAATCAAAAGTTAAAATAGGTGACGTTAAAAGAATAAAAGTTAAAAGTCTAATTTCTAAAACTAGAAATCAAATGAGGCAATAGTCTGTACTTTATATGATTATAAAATGAGGCAATTTCCATACTCCAATAGTTTGTACTCTATATGATTGTAAAATGAGGCAATTCCATTCCTAAAAAGCTAATAGCTTTACTCCGTATAAAAATAAGAGGACTGGGAATTCCTACCCCGTAATCCTTGAGTATTGAAAGAGATGGTTGCATTCTTGATTTTTCAGAAAGAGAACTTATCACGGAGTATTTTTTCCACTCCTTAATTTTGCAATGTATATAGAAAGGCAATTCCCTTTAATTCATGAATCATAAACAACGAGTACATTATAGAATTGTCTTTCAATTTTGCAAAATATCCCTATATAGAAAGGCAATTCCCTTTACTTCCTCTGTCCCAATTTGATGATCCCGTATTTCCTTTCTGGGTCGTCCCAAATTGATAATTCCATTTCCCTTTTTGGAAAGAAATATGTGGTTCACATCATTTCACCTTTTTCTATTCAAATCTCAATCGCAACTTTTATCTTTTCAACAGCTTCCTTAATCTTTGAGCCCAAAAGAAATGAGATCATCAAATTGGGACGGAGGGAGTACTCGTTATTGGAAATCAAAACACGTACAAATATTAATGGACATCGCACAGATTAACTTTTCAAATTGTTTTTTTGAACGGAACTTTTAAATTTGTTAATACTTGCTACGTATTATTCATTGCGGTAATTACTAATTACCCAAATGGGTCAATTTTACGAGTCAGGTTCCATTTATGTCCCAACATTATATTTCTTTTATATATACACTTTCATCTTTTCACCTGTTTATTTTTATTTCAAAAATAGTTTGTACACCCATTTAGATCCGCTACCTCTTCCACTCTCATCTGCCGTCTCATCTCGCATTCTCGCCACATACCAAATAAACTGCCAACCTCTGCCGATCTCTGTATCTCTTATATATCGCTACATACCAACTAAATTGCCGACCTCTTAGCAAGGGTGGAAGAGCAAAGTAAAGTTAAACATTTTTACAAGAGGTAGTGCCATAAACTGTATTTTAAACAACTACATTTGAATGTATAATTGTAACTGGTATTTGAATCTATAAAATTATATATTATTTTGAGAGGTTCTGATAATGATGTAGTAATACTTATTATCTATTTGACATTAAGAATATGATTACAAGTAAGTATTTAAGTTAAAATGTACTACGTATATGTTTTGCCTCTTTGGTAATCTAAGGGCTTTGGTTAAGTTATGAGGAAAGGTCAAATTGGTACTCGAAGTTGCATAAAATGGGTCAAATAAGTCCTTATATAGGAGGCTCTGTTCGGCCGTCGTCATTTGGGGCGGTCCCCGGTTGAATTTTTTGACGAAATTTTTTGAGCATCTTATTCATTAAGTCTAGTTTACTCATACCAAATTTCAGCTAAAGCTTAAATCGGGAAGGCATTCAAATGAATTCTTGAAGATAACTGCGGAGTTAAAAGCGCAATTATCTTTAAGAATTCATTTGAATGTCTTCCCGATTGAAGTTTTAGCTGAAATTTGGTATGACTAAACTAGATTTAATAAATAAGATGCTTGATATGCACTAATTAGTAGTGCATAAGTGTATGTTTTTATGTTTGATTTGTGTGTATTGTTTATCGTTTTATTTAGTTTGTAAACATTTGTGTGATTTTAGTTGTAATTGTATTTTAGTTCTCATTTGTAAGTTGTAAAGTAGAATTAGGAATTATGGTGTTGAAAAGGAGGACTTTGAAGTGAAGAAAAAAGAATTTTGACTGTCCAGGAGCAAATACCCGACCAGGCATAAGACGTCACCGGGTCGGGTCTGATTCAACAACCGAAAGTGCCTGGAAAGTGCACTCACCCAGTCGGGTCTCCTACCCCACCCGGTCGGGTCAGACATGAACCGGGACCAAATGACGTGCAGAAGCATGAGAACATGGCGGATTATTTGATTTTGACATGCACCCGGTCGGGTGGGCACTTGACCCGGTCGGGTACCCGGACCAAGGTGTTGAAAAACACCTATAAATAGCACACTTTTCCTTCTCAAATAGTCATTCCTTCTTCCATACTCTTAAGCTCAGTTTATAATAGTATTTCTTTTATATTTTTATAGCATGTTTAGTCTCCAAATGAGGAGCTAAACTTCCATTTCTTGGTGTTGCTCTTGAAGCTTGTTGATTATTAAAGTTGTGAGTTATTTTCTTAACTTCTTCCCTTGAATATTAATTATTCTCTTAGTCTATCTATATATTAATGTTGGGGAGTGTTGCTAAGATGACAATTAGTTAACATCTCGACATTAATTACTACTAGAAACGTTCAACGAACCGATGGTTAATCGTTGATGGTTTCACAAGTAAGTAACTTCGGTTTATTAATGCACGGTCATGGTTAATAAACTTAAGAGGGATTAATTTTGTTGGTTAAACCGAAACCGTTGTGTTGAGGTTATCAATCTCAATTGATTTCATCAAGGAGTTAAGAGATTAAATGCTACTATCAAGTCGGTATATGCCGGTGTTCTATACTTGACTAATAGTAAGGGTTATTAATGAACGGTCGTTTTTAATAACTACCCTTGATGAATTGGAGATACTTCTCGATTGAGTATTCGAGAGGGGATAAGTTATAGATATAACAATAATCGACTAAAATATATCAACAAGTGGAAAGTAGCAATGCCAAGTCCTTTTTATCTTTGAATTAAATCACATATAAGTTGTTCATCTTTGTGTTTAATTTAATTAACTCACTCAATCAAAACCCCCCCTTTACTTACTAGTTACATAAAAAGATAATTATTCCTTCCCCTGTGGATACGAACTCTACTTCACCTATACTACGTATAAGTGTTAGTATTGAATATTATTTTGACGCACCGTGACAAAGTGCTCGTCAATGCTCAAAAAAATTTATCAAAAAATTCCACCAGGAACCGCCCTAAATGGCGATGGCCGAACAGTAAGGACTTATTTGACTCTTTTTATACAACTTCGAGTACCAATCTGACCTTTACCTCGTTAAGTTATATACAACGTACATGAGACTCGTTATCTCTTTGAAATTATTATGTTGAATATATGGTTATAGTACAAATTAGTTTCCACCAAAACTTATTTTGAGATGTTTTAATAAAAATAGATATTTGGGGAACATCATACTTTTTGATCATCAAAACAAAACGCTTTATATTAATATCATAAGGATTCAGATAGTTACAACAAATTCAACAAGACTATCACTGACAAAAATTATTCCTAACCAACTAGCACTATCAACCCTACAGCTAGATTCATAGACGATCAGTCCTGAAAGTGCAATATGAATCGCTAACCACAAGCGGGTGTGACACAACAGTCACTGGCCATAAAGATCCTTCAATTCCATCGACATAATATCTAGCAGAATTGTCAATCATTATTGTAGACTTAAAACTAAAGACATCAACACAAAACAAAAACAACATAAAACATAACGCAAAAATAAAACTATAAAAAATTAAATAACTGATAAAACTTCCAAACCCTAGCAACTCGATCGCTCCAAGGCGGCGGTTCAGGAGGGGGGCGAACCACCGATCTGTTATCTCCCTTGCCTAGCCTTTCGCCTCTCCCCATCTTCTCGTCGCCCAAGCCAGGGCCAGTCCTGGTATAAGGGCAGCCTGGGCCACTGCCCAGGGCCCACCATTCATAAGGGGCCCATAAAATTTTATACAGAGTATGTTATATTTTTGTATTTTTTAGAATAGATGTTATACGGTTATACCCGTCTGCTAGAGTGCTCCTAGCAATTGACGTTCTACCTTCCTTAAGCACGAGAATCGAAATTAAGAAATTAGGAATTTGAAAGATCCCATTTTGAAATTGGTTCCGTTTCTACGATTATATAGTTACATCTATTTCAGATCCTTCCGCTTTCATTGTATTTGTTCTGTTGCTAAAATCGATCATCACTTCGGTAATTTAGTGCTCTTGGCTAATCGCCATTCTGTTTGATTGGTAGAACGGGTATTATATTAGTTTTAAGTACGTGTTTGTTGATACTTTTATACTTTTCATGAGAAATTAAATATTTAAGTATTGCAAGCTTTGGTATCAATGTATTTTTAGATTCCTTTTGTGACTTCTGCGGTTCTGCCATAATCTCCAATTCTCCAGATTGTGCCATAATTTTCTTATAATAATACTGTAAATGCTCCATAGAAACATTTGTGTGAAAATAAAGGTAAAAAACGAGTTAATAAATTCTCAAAAAAAGTTATGGATAGTTTTTTTTTAAAAGGAAGTTCTTCAAATGATAATTTTGATGTGGAATCAAATTAACAAAATTTTGATAATGTTAGTGAATTTAGTTACAATAGGACAGTTTTTATGGACAACAACACCTAATTTTATGCACCTAACATTACTTTTAAAATTTGGGGCCTTTTGCCGGTGTTCTGTCCCGGGCCCAAAAATTGTCAAGACCGACCCTGACCCAAGCTGCCTCCACTACCAACACCGCCCTCTACCCATGCTGATTTGCCAATAAATAACTATCCAACTTTCTCCTCAAATGCAGGACTGAGCCAACGCTGCTCTAGATCATCCATAGGAGTCATAATTATCCTTTGTTGGACCTTGGATTCATTTCCAAAAGTTGCTGCTGCACTCACTCTTCCTTCAAGATTGACTTGCACAAGTCGAGAAAAGAGATCAGAAAACAAAGATGAAATCTTTTCACTGGTTCAAGATCCAATGGATAATCAGAAAGTCACCTAGATCCCTAAGCCAGAATCAACAATCAAAAATCAAGAAACATCTAGAAGTCTAGAGAAGAAGAACCACACAAACAATTGGTGGAAGAAAAATCCTACACGACGGTAAAGCCGCTAGGGAGGAAAACCCTACGCGATAGAACCGCCTGGGAGGAAATTAAAAAATTCTACGCGGCAGAGGCGCTAGGGAGATTGGCAAGATAACCCTTGACTTCGACGTACGTATCGCCTGGAATCAACAACAAAATGATTACGACAACAATTTAAAAAGTCAATGTAATAAATGCCATTTTTTGCAAAATGAAAATGGAGTGAGTAATATTCGCTTGGTCCATTTTGATACGGGAGGAAGGATGTTTTCTTTTGGACTGAAATTTGCTGGTCTGGTCTGTTTAAGTCTGGTCTGGTCTGGTCTGGTCTGGTCTGGTCTGGTCTGGTCTGGTCTGGTCTGAACTGGTCTGGTCTGGTCTGGTAAACGTCTGGTCTCTGTGTATTTTATAACTACGGAAGT